AGTTGGTTAAGTGCACACAAGAAAATGATATAAGGATTAATGCAGAGATTCCATGCGACTTAGCACAGACCTGCCAACCCTTACCTGAAGAAAATCTGGACATTGGAGAATGCGAAAAGAAATCCTTAAAAATCTGCTAATAAAAATATATTTTTTAAGAGACTACGAAAAAAAATGTGAGAAAAAATCAGTGTTGAGTCAATAGCCACAAAAACTTAGAATTAATAGAAATGTCATGCAGAAATGTCAGTTAAAAACCCACTAAAAATCGGGTGAACATGCATCACCATTCATTGGGTGAGCTAGAGATTTTGTCAAAAATTGGATGATACCCCACAAAATCGAGCAGTTGGCAGGTTTGTTAGCGGCATAGTGCGGCCGGATCACGTTGTGTTCAAGCTGTTTTTTGTATATGTATGCAGTCAACGTTTGAAGCGAATTCAGGAAATTAGGGTCTATAACGGTACTAATTGTTTAAATGGCAACATGATATATATATCTTGCTTGTGATGTTACTCTGAGTGTATATCCACACCGGGCAGGCTTGCAAAATATGCCTGGCCACGGTGGGAATCGAACCTACAACCTTTGGAATACTAGCCCAATGCTCTGCCAACTGAGCTACGCGGTCAGGTCGGTTCAAGTATGTTATATTTCGGAACTGCATGATTCTAGTTCCTTCGATATCGATGTAATCTAGTAATCATGAATTTCAGAGTAACGGTACATCACAAGCATCATATTCACCTGAGTACATTACACCAACACAGAAAAAAAAAACATATCTACCCTACAAATTATTGAATCCTCTTGATCCAAACCAGCAACAATTCTTGCAAGACGTTTATTTTGCTGAACAACAACAATAGGTGTTTTGTCTTTCAACCTTTAATTTAAATAAAAACACAAAAACTAACTAGATGGTGCGATACAGTTAATCTATTGAGAGTTCGATTAAAACTAAAGTCAAAATTAATTGTTTCTCAGAATGCATGATATACAAGTTCTAGAAATGTCTTGGAAAATAAACATAATTGATCAATACACCCTTCTGGAAACTACTCTTTTATCGTTACTATTGTTACTATCGTTACGAAACCATAATTACCATATACAGTTATAATAAGTAATATATCCTGTACATAATTAATTTTACTATCAGTGCCGGGCATATATTAAGGACTTAATTATACCTGGTACAAATTTTGCACCAGCAAAATTGACATGTTTTTCGATGATATTCCACCACAGGGGCCCAATTCAAATTGCTCTTATCACAGTAACCTCTGAATTTTTCTTTAACCTAAAATAGTTAAAAACTAAATTACAGGTCTCAATCATTATAGAATAGCTGTCAAACAGAAGCCTGCACCCGATTCTCTGCATGGATAAATACAAATTTCTATTATTTGATAAACATTCAACAAATAGTTACCAATTGACAATTCTCACAGGACTCGTTTTTGCACTTGCAAAAGTTGTATTTATTAATTGATAAATGTGATCGTATTTTCTCATCCAAACTCCAAATCACGTCTGCGGCAATTCGGGTTTTTTCCTCTGATTGGTTATTTTCAACTTTACATTTTTCGTCCTGCTCATCCTCTAATGTAAGTAAAGAAATAATGCTGAAACGTGCCCTTTTGGCAGCCAGGCAAGGAAACCTTAAAATGCATATGCATGGGGTCTGTGTGTTATTGTATTAGAGCTGTAAGTTGTAAATGCATGTATTCAGATCATGCACTAGATCAGAATAGAATAGAATTGAGATTAGATTAATTGCTGGAAGTATAGTTAGTCTTCTCCAATTTAAGTGGCACCACTAAATTCTAGCCAAATTGCAAATTTCAACACATTATACTGCTGTTTCCTGACCATCAGATTTCTGTCAAATCTTCCCCCAAAGTCCAGGAAATGGCATTTCAGAGATTCTACCATAAAAAAATTCCTGGTGGGCATGCCCCCGGAGCCCCCTAGACAAACCTCACACATGCGGCGCTCAGCTTGTGTCTTTTGTAACATTATAGGGGCACATACTGGTTGAAAGTCCACTGCCCCCCCCCCCCAGAAAAACAGTACCCAGCATGCTACTGTTTACAGCCCTAAAAAAAGTCAAAATTGAGGTTGGCAAAACAGTGCGTCAATGCCAACCTAAATCTGACACAGGTCGGCACCTCTCTGGCTGCATTTTTTAGATCAGATACTATCTTCACATTGTAATTTCAAAGCGGCAGCAACCATCAGTAGCACAACCCAAATTTTGTGTTTCCCACAACCATATTTTTAATATTCCTACGGCTGCTTCCATTAGAATTGTTATGTATTCGACGAACTTCACAGTTTCCCTGACTGTGTTATGGAAGATCACAAGCTAGTAGTACCAAGATACCATCTGGCATCAAAGTTGTATGACTTGGTGTTGAAAGAACAACAAACAAACACAATATCCTTTTGAATAGTTGTCAGCAGATGAAAAAAGATAATTCTACTGAGAAGAACTTGATTGAGCCGTTGACAGATCAGTATTTAGGTCGGTAGTCAGCACTGCCAAATGCTGACCTAGCTTGTATCTGAGGGGTGTATTTAGCTTATAGTAGGTATCTTTAGTTTGTATATTTAATTATAGTGGTTAACAATATGTGTAGCTGTAGGTCATACCATGCTGCTGTATTGCTTAGATGGTTAGAGCACTGTACTGGAATCGCAGTTCGATTCCAGCCAGGAAACTAAAGTTGCATTTTTCGCTGCTGTCCTGGTTAGGTCTAATACTAGAAATTACTATCGCAAGGAAAGTGCTGCCTCCCCCCC